AACATTTATATATTCATTTTCATATTCTTTTTCACCGAAGGTTACCAGAAGCTGTAGAATATGGTTCCCTGTGTTATACAGTATAAACTTGTTGTTTATCTATCTATATATACATACGCACACACATACAGTAGTATCTGCAAATCTCAAACTCCCAATTTATCCCTCCCACCTCCTTCCCCCTGCCCCCAGTAATCATGTTTATTTTCTGTCTCTGAATCAGTTTCTGTTTTGTAAATCAGTTTGTTTGCTTTTTTTTTCTTTTTTAGATTCCACATATAAGTGATATCACATAGTATTTTTCTTTCTTTTTCTGGCTTGCTTCACTTAGAATGACAATATCCAGGCCATCCATGTTGCTGCAAGTGGCATTAATTTATTCTTTTTTATGACTGAGCAGTATTCCATTGTATAAATAAAGCACAGCTTCCATATCCAGCCATCTCTTGATGGACATTTAGGTTGTTTCCATGTCTTGGCTATTGTAACTACTACTGCTACGAACATTGAGGAGCAGGTAGGTTTTTGAATTAAGGTTCCCTCTGGATATATGCCCAGGAGTGGGATTGCTGGATCACAGGGTAAGTCCATTTTTAGTCTTTTGAGGAATCTCCATACTGTTTTTCCACAATGGCTGCATCAAAACTACATTCCCACCAGCAGTGTAGGAAGGAGGGTTCCCTTTTCTCCACCCCCTCTCCAGCATTTATCCTTTGTGGACTTTTGAATGATGGCCATTCTGACTGATGTTGAGATGATACCTCATTGTAGTTTTGATTTGCATTCTCTGATAATAAACATGGTACTGAGCATTTTTTCATGTGCCTATTAGCCATCTGTATGTCTTCACTGGAGAATTGCTTGTTTAGGTCTTCTGTCCATTTTTGGATTGGGTGGTTTGTTTATTAAGTTGTATGAGCTGGTGATATATTCAGGAAATTAAGCCCTTGCCGGTCTCATATTTTGCAAATATTTTCTCCCATTCCGCAGGTTGTCTTTCTGTTTTGCTTATGGTTTCCTTTGCTGTGCAAAAGCTTGCAAGTTTAATTAGGTCCTATTTGTTTGTTTTTGCTTTTCTTTCTATTGCTTGGGTAGACTGCCCTAGGAGAACATTGCTGAGATTTATGTCGGATAATATTTTGCCTATGTTTTCTTCTAAGAGGTTTATAGTGTCCTGTCTTATGTTTAAGTCTTTAAGCCATTCTGAGTTTATGTTTGTGTATGGAGTGAGGGAGTGTTCTAACTTCACTGATTTACATGCAGCTGTCCAGCTGTCCCAACACGACTTGCTAAAGCGACTGTC